GTCCCCACGCCCTCCGGGTCCCTGCGCCCTCCGGGTCCCCGCGCCTCCCGCCGTCCGTCCCCGCGCCCCCGCCGTCCCCGCGCCCCCGCCGTCCCCGCGCCTCCCGCCGTCCCCGCGCCCTCCGGGTCCCCGCGCCCCCCGCCGTCCCCTCCTCCGCGGGGCCCGGCCGTGTCCGTCCTCGCAGGCTGGCAGCGGTGCCCTCCCTCCCCCGGGCCGGCGAGGGGTCCCAGCGGGGCGCGCAGGTGTCAGTGTGTCCTTCCGTCCGCGGCGCCCGCGTGAGCGCTCCCGGCGCCGTCACGTGGTGTCTGCCCGCCGCGCGTCCGTCCGTCCGGCCCGCGCTCCCCGGGGTCGCGGGGCGGCAGGGAGAGGGGGCGGCGGGGGAGGGGCGGGGGCGGGACAGTGGGCGGGCGGGGGCCCGAGGGGCGTGTGCGGGCCGGAGGCGGCTGTCACAGCGGCTCAGCCTGCGCCGAAGCTCGGCCGCCTCCCACCGCAGGTGAGTGAGTGAGCGCGGCCGGACGCCGCCGCCTCGGGGGGACGGGGACCCCGCAGCCTTGGGGGGACGGAGACCCCGCAGCCGTGGGGGGACGGGGATGGAAACCCCGCAGCCTTGGGGGGACGGGGAACCCTGCAACCTTGAGGGGACGGAGACCCCGGGGACCCCGCGGCCCCGGAACTCCCGCCGCCGCACACTCACTCGCGGGGACCCCGAAGGCCCCTCCCCGGCCCCCGGAGTCTGGGGCGCTGAGGACGCCCCCCCTGGGGCGGGCCGGGCCGCAGGGGGATGCCGCCTCCCGCCGCCGTCCCGGGGCGACCCCGTGTCCCCGCCGGGGCCCCTCCCGGAGCCCCGAGTTATAATTAGCCGCGCTCGGGTTTCTGCCCCGGATCCCACGGGGAATTCTGATCTCCTGACCGGAGATGCCGGCTCCGCGGCAGCTGCTGCCCCCAAAATAGCGCCTCCGCGGCGGTGCGGGACCCCGCGGCGCGGCTCGGGCGGCTCCCGGCGGCCCTGGGGTGCGGAGGCCGCGTGGTGGGGTGCGGGGTTCTGAGGAGGGCGCGTGCGGCTGGGGAGAGCCGCCCCGCCGCCGCCAGGGGGTGAGGCAGGGTGGGGCGATCGGGGGGGGGCCTAGGCGGGCTCGGGGATTCATGGGGGTCTTGGGGAGGCCTGGGGGGCGCAGAGAGGCCCGGGGGGGGCGG